ATTCAGACAAAATTCATATTTCCAATGATTTGCATGACTTTTAATTGCATTCATCTACGACATAACACAATAAAACTGGCTGATGAAAGATTAATACCACATCAATGTCTCAAATTCAAATATTACGAAATTTTCAAATACCACGAAAGAATGTATCAATCGAAAATTCACAACAAACCTTCTTAAATTCAAAATGCATTTCATAAAAATATTTCACGAATTTCGAAAATTTTTGTCAAGAAACTTCAGAAACTTGAAGATCTTTCAACTGAATATTTGAGTCATCTAACTATCAACAAAATCGACTTGCCATTTGCAACTTCTGCTATAGCATGGATATTATGCATATCTACCATTTCTTCAAATGTAATTTTAAAAATGAATAAATAAACAAAATCGCTTGATAGAGGAGAGACCAATTTGAATTTATATCCTCATAAAATATCCCGTAAACACTATCAATTGAATGGAAACAAGTAAAAAGATATGTGGATGAATAATCTTGATACAACAAACAGTTCGTAAGAACAAACCTGACGACGTTTGTTGTTGCATCGATTGCATCGGATTTCCACCATAGTGCATGGCTGCTCCTTGAGGAGGTTGCGGTTGCATGTAGGGGGGTGCGCCTGCTGATGGTGATGTATTTGACGGAGGTCGGGCCAAATACGGTGACGGCGGTGGATGCATACTGCCTGGACTGCCCAATGGAGAACGGCCTGCAAGATCGCATGAACTCTTGCAAAAATCTTCAGCTTAGACATTTGCACGAATATTTTTAGATGAGAGAAATATTTCAGCGTGTGCATTTAATTGTAAAATACCAAAAAATCTCAACATTACAGAATCTATCTTTTCTTGATTTTGAATTGAAGCTATTATAGTTTCGAGATCGTCCACATAAACAACGAACAAATGAATGAGATTAAGCAATGCCTATAAATTCGATTGAAATTTCGGAAGTAACACGGAACCTTTTCAATCTAAATTCGTGGTGGAGGGAAACTGAAGATATTATTTAAGTCGTTCAATGAGGGGCGATTGACTGACTGAATAAATGGGCAATATTTTACGCAATAAAAACTGAATCAAAAACGAAGAAATCAATAAAAATGTTGCATTCTGTTCAAAAAAAAACCGCCGAGGACAAGAGTTTTCGTGAATCTTCAAGAAAATAGTGCAACAATTCGCAAAACAAATTTTTTCTGCAGCGTTTCAAACGGAATTAAATTGGCACGGGGGGAAAGGAATGGGTTCAAATTGAAGAGAACACGGCGAATAAGCGCACCTGGCATGCACATTCCCATTTGCTGCTGTTGCATTTGCATACGCATACCGCCCGGAGATAAAATCTGTGACGGCTCTCGCATCGAGTGTGGTGTACCCGCCGAACCTGGAAACATCATTGCTCATAAAAAGATTGAAATTGGAACAACACAACTTCCGTCCATTCATACATTAAATACTTTCGAAATAAAACAAAACAAACATATTCCTGATCTGAATTC